GTTTTTTGGTTTTTTTTTTTTCTTTTTTTCCAACACAGGAAGATCCTGCCTTGCTTCGCTGGTCCTATGCTAGGACGCAAAACATCTATCCTAATTTCCGCCCGACACCCAAGTCGTCTTTTCTAGGAGCTCTTTTTGCTATAGGCCCTATTGTCTTCTGGATTTGGGCCTTCAAAGCTGACAGGGTGAGTCAGTTGACAGCAGTGGGCGTCAGTGAACATCAAACAATGTAGATATGCTTGGAGACTTGATTGGTGAGATCCCCTTGCACCTAAGAATGATTAATACCATTAAAGTAATGAAAGGAGGAAGGCTGATGCCGAGCCTAGTATCTCAAAGCTTCATTGTTGTAAAGTCTTGTTTTGGTAAGAGCCCTGTATTGTACCCGTGGGTATGGCCTGTCACAGTTTCCCTGAGTGGGGTATTTTGCTATAATAAAGCTCTGCAGCACTGAGATTGTAAATTAATCATAAGAGACTTATTATTTTCAGCTATTGACGTGCAGTGACTGTGCTTTCTAAAATAAATAAAGAGGGAGCTTATGGATGACAGACCTAGCAACGTTTCTGGGAGTTGCTTAACCAATTCTCTGGTCTCATGAAGCAAATGGGGAAGAGTACTTATACTGATTACAGTGCCTGATCTCAGCTGAGTTTTTAAGATTTTGGAAGGTTTTATCTTGCTTCAGTTCTAACTCCTGAAATGTGGGTGTCAGAATCTGAGCAATAGATCATTCTGGAAATAGTTGGTGATTTACATACATAAGAAAATGCTAGGGGACTAGCAGTCAGTGATTGTTTTTACCAGTGAATTTGTAGCTATTGTAAAACACTTTTATTTCCCTCTTTTGCAAAGAAGTAGCCTTTTTAGATCAAGTCATAAACTTGGAAGCACAAACATCAATTAAATTAATAGAATATTTGTAGGGAATGCTATTTATAAGGGTGAATTGAACGTACAGGTTTTAGGAAACATACCAAGCATGTTGATGTAAATGTTTTTGAGACTTAAGCATCTCTGCAGTTTGGTTTTGTACATGAAGCCACACTGGGGCTTAGCCACCAAGTGTGTCTTACCACGTGAGTGAAATATAGACATTCTTGCCTGGGAATATTTAAGCTGAAGTCTTTAATTTAGTCTTCAGGGCAATTTGTTTTCCTTTATTCCAGTTCCCTTACTGGTGTTTGGGGATTTTTCTTTTTTTTTTTCTGGTAGTATATAAAGCACAATAACTGTTAGACTTTTTTTCTCTGAGAAGTGTTTGTTGTGTGTCTGGGAAAGCAAACGATAAATTGCTAAGTCTTAAGCAAGTCTTCTGGTTTTATTCAACAGAAGGAATCTGGGCAGTATCTGCAGTGTCTATATACTGTAACAATACCTGTCAGAAAGGTACATGACTGCAGAGCGAGATACAAATGGGCTGAAAGTGAACAGAGGCACATTTAGGCAAGTTATTAAGAAGTTTCTCCATAATCAGATCTCTAAACTGGATTACTCAGCCAGAAGGAGGATGGAGAAATTAAATGTATAAATTAAGTGACGTAACCAGTTTGGTGAAAAATATATCCCAGGAATTGTTCTCTGCTGGCCTGTGAAGAGTGGATAGATGTGCAGAGAGGCCAACCTGAGCATGTCTTCCCTAGCTGGAAGGTGAAGCTAAATGCCTGGTTCTTTTTCACTTTTTAACCACCACAGCTGTTAGCAGAGTTTGTGTTTATAGAATCACTTAGGTTGGAAAAAACCCATTAAGATCATATGTGGTGCTATCTTCCTACAGTTCATGATTAAATACTAGAACTGCTTTTCTCTTATTCCAGGCTGATTGAAACCTCTTCTCTAAGAGGATAATGATGAATGTTCTTTTTCTTCCACAGGATCGTAAAGAGAGGCTTATCCAGGAAGGTAAATACCAGCGACCGTTCAGCCTATTTTAAGTTCCTGGAATTGCAGTGCTGTTCCTGGGATATAAATAAAATAAGATGTACTGTGTGCTGATGTTTCTCCTTTGTGAGAATAAATCTTAATTGCTCGTTGGTTGTCTTGCATCTTTAACCATTAAAGAAAGTGCAAAAGTGTAAGATCTTTTTATGTTATACAGATAGGGCGTCCTGAACAAAACTGTTGTACTCCTTTGGTCTACATACGGAGGCTCCTCTTAAACTGTGGAAGTTGCTTCTGTCAGAAGTTCAAAATTAGTAGCAGGCTAAAATGTTAAGCAAGCCCAAAGCAGTTTCTAAAGAACTACAGCTTGCCTGCTAGGTATTTCTTCCTGGCGTCAGTTTGACTATAGTTTGCCCTAATTGGATAATGGGCAAGGTCTGTGATATATTTTTAATAACTTTAGGAGCCTGCCTGACTGCTCTCAATAAGTTGAGTTAATTTTTCTTTTCCCTAATAAAATACAAACGTAAACCATGTATTTTTTAATTGCACTGGATAAAAATTCTGGATGACATTACTGCACCAGGCTTGGAAATAGTGAGCTGAACATTGCTATGCTATATGTGACTGTCATTTCCACTAATGCTATGATTCCTGTGAGTGGGAGACATGAAGTAAAAAGATCATGATTTTTATTTTTTGACACTGATTCCCTTGCAGCATGGGAGAATTCCGTTTCACCCTTGCAAATGGGCCATGATTTAAAAAAAAGAACCACCAAGTGTAACTGAACCTTGTGCCTGCAAAGATATTCTCTCCACTTATTTTTGTAAGAACCGAAGTGTCTTTCTGCCCAGGCTAACTGGTACAGGGGGCTTGGGAATTACTGCTGTCAAAGTACTGAAATATGAGTGCAAGGAAAAGATTTTTAATTCAGACTTGAATTTTCACATGGCCTGTAGGTGCCGTCATGACCCAAACAACCCTCATTCTTCAGATATTATACAGCTGTGGTTTTTTCACAAATGTTGAGGTCAATGGCCAAAAAACTCAGTCTGATGCAAAAGTTTCCCAGGGTCTGCTGGGAAACCAGCCTATGTTCTTGACATTGAAGTCAGCAAGAGCAGCTCTGCTAAGTCCCTTTCCTGCATGATTAGGATGTAATTATGGGCCATTTGCAGTCCCTCTCCATCACAGTGAGTTGGTGAGCTTTTTCACAGCATCACAGAATGTTTGAGGTTGCAAGGGACCTCTGGAGGTCATCTGGTCCACCTCCCCTGCTTAAGCAGGGCCAGCGAGAGCTGGTTGCCCAGGACCATGTGCAGGCAGGTTCTGAATATCTCTAAGGATGGAGGCTGCACAGCCTCCCTGGGCAACTTGTGCCAGTGCTCAGTCCCCCCCACGGTAGAAGGGTTTCCTGATTTTTTTTTTTTAATGTTTCCTGTTGTGGCTTTCCCCTTTCCTGTCTGGGTCATGAAACATTTGGGCTGTGGGGAGCTTGGCACTAAGGCTGTGTGCAGCAGCTGTGCAAGGCCATGGCCTGCTTTTTCAGTCCCATGTGTGCTCCCGGCAACCCTCTTGCACCTGTCTTTGCAGCTTGCCTGCTTTTTCAGTCCCATGTGTGCTCCCAGCAACCCTCTTGCACCTGTCTCTGCAGCTAGTTTTTCTGCTAGCTTAACTAAAGCAAACCTAGGTTATTCTCCCTGCAGAACAGTTTCTAAAAGATTGTCACAAATGATATTGCAAGATATGGCTGTGGGTCAGTGCAGAGAGAGAGGCATCAATGCATGGAGAAA